ATATATATATTGTAATATATTTTTAAAATAAGAGTATATTTTAATTCAATATATATTGTAATATATTTATTAAAAATAATTATTTTTTGGTATAAGGTTAAAAGTTAATAAATTTAAAGAAGCAATCATATATATAAAATGTAAGAACTAATTGAATCAAATTGTATTTATATTATATTTTAATAATTAAATTGAATAAATGTAAAAAAAATATATTAAACTGATTGTATATTAATTATTTTTTTATTATTAAAATTATAATATTATACGTATATATCTTGTACGTCTTGGTTCACTTAAATTTCACAGGACTAGGCTTATATATATTTATACAATTTGCAGGTAGAATATATATAGTTTCCTAACGTAATTACACATCATACATATATTGTCATCTCCTTCATCATCGGCATCAATATATATCTTATTTTAATAAATCTTCGAAAACGCACGAATGTATATGTATAGTGCAATGATTGGTACATCCTATATTTCAACACTCGATTTAACACCCTTAAGTTTAGTCATTAAAAAATCATTATTTTTTAGTTTGAAATTAAAAACAAATAAGTATAATGATACAATCATGCACACAAGATACAAAAATCGACTAAATTGATTATATTTATATTATATTTTTAATAATTAAACCGAAAAATATTAAATCAGGTGTTGAACCGAAAGGTGTACCAAATATTTCTCATATGTATATTAATCCATTCATGCGCAATGATGCATGCGCACATCCATTTGTATATGATATAGGGCTTGAGCCCGTCTCTCTTACATTGATATTGATTCTAAGTAAGTTCATAGGACACAAAAAAGGCAATGAAAGATATATTATATATAAAGCAGGGACTCTTAGCATTTAAAAGCAAAATAATAAAATATACATGGGATTGGCGTCAGTACTTCTTTTAGTCTTATCCTAAATTGATGAACTTATCCAAAAGATCATCAACGGGGAACAGTAGGAATAACACAAGAATGTGGACTCATAGACCCCACAATTGAGAAGTTTCCGTAATGAAATTTTCATTGATTAATAAAGTCTGAGAAATGATCTACTACTTCCGACATTGGCTGCTCCAACAAATCTTGGAGTTCCCCACATATTTGATCAAATAAACCTGCATTTTCCGCTTTGATATTGATGTAAGTTTCGTCATGAACTGCAGAATCAATTTGTCCAGCAGGCAAGTCTTTCAGTGACGTTGTTGGTGGGTGCAACACATTATCAGAGGATAGAGTATCCTCAAGTGATAAATAGAGTACGTTGTCGGAAGATGAAGTATGTTCAAGAGAGTTATTTTGCTTGGCTTCATCATCATCACCACCACCACCATCATCATCGGCAGCAGCAGCAGTTGATGAATTCTCCATCGCCAGTTTCTTCAAGTGCGTGTTCCAGTAGTTTTTGATTTCATTGTCTGTTCGATGTGGCATTCTTTTCGCAATTGCAGCCCAACTACAACCAGAAAGAAATAGAGATTGATGGAGAACAAAATTAATGCTCATCTTCTATTTAGATTTTTTTAAAAATAAAATAATCATATATCTCTGTTTTTCTTGCTAACCTATTTCCCACATGGTCTTCTGCAACTTGAGTATGGTTTCTTCTTCTTCCTTGGTGAAGTTCCCATGTTTTATGCCCGGCCTAAGGTAATTCATCCAACGAAGCCTGCAACTCTTTCCTGTCCTAGAAAGGCCTGCAAAATTCATCAAGGGCATAGATCTTTAGTTCTCTCTCACACAAACTTTAAAATGAAACTTTAATTGTGTAAAAAAGATCAAAAGCTATCATATACCAGCATATTTTGGCATTTCATTCCAATTCCAAATGCCATATCTCCTTATATAAGCTAACAACTTGTTATCTTCTTCAGGTGTCCATGTTCCTTTCTTCAGAAATGGCTTCTCAAACTCAAAGGAAATCGGATAACTCACCATGAGCGATCTCTCTATATCCAAAAATAGTACTAATAATTAGCAGCTGAAAACAACATATATACTTCTTACTTGATGCTCATCTTACCTATATATACAAGACGAAATATATTCGTCACCAAATTTGTCAAAGTCAGCCCCAAACATATATGTTCCTTCCAGGATCTATCAATGCTTACATATATTAGTTAGAAGCTTCCTTACACTATTCTCTTTCCTATGCAAATTGGGATTTTTAATTTCAAATTAAAATAGCAAAAAGACAAACTAATATAACCCAAGAATCGGTTAAAGATCAATTACAACAAGAGCATAATGATGGGGTAAATGTCGATGACAATTGCCTCGCAAGATGGGCAGGGGTTCTTAATTGTGAAACTGGCAAAGTACCATTCAAGTACCTTGGTATTCCTATTGGAGCAAACATGAAAAAGGCAGAGGCCTGGAAGGTTTTGGTGGAGAAATTTACAAAAGGGCTATCCACATGGAAATATCGACTTTTATCTTCTGGCGGAAGAATATCCTTGATTAATTCTGTGCTTTCTAGTCTCCCAGTATTTTTTATGTCCATGTACTTAATGCCTAAATGTGTTGTTAGAATTCTTGATTCTATTCGAAGGGGGGTTTCTATGGGGAGGGAGTGAGGAGAGGAAGAAAATATGTTGGGTAAGATGGGAATAGGTGTGCAAGGAGAAAAAAATTGGGGGGTTTAGGCATTAAAAATCTTAGAACTTTCAACCTTGCTTTGTTAGGAAAATGGTGGGGTAGAATAGCTAATGAAGAATTTGGGGGTTATGGAGACGGGTTGTTGAGAATAAATATGGAGTTAGAAATAAAAGGTGGGTGGCATGGATGAGTGAGGGGACACATAAAGGATCTCAGTGGTGGAAAGATCTATGTCTTATTAACGAGCTAGGTGGGGAGTCAGGGGGTTGGTAACTGAATGGCTTTAGACTAAAGGTAGGGTCTGGGAATAAGGTCTCATTTTGGGAGGATGCCTGGAGTGGAAATAGTAGTTTGGTTGATTTATTCCCAAGACTTTTTTGTATTTCTGCAGATAAAACAAAAACGGTGGCAGAGATGGGCTCATGGGAGAATAATTCTTGGGCATGGGATCTTAAATGGAGATGACAACCATTTAGTTGGGAGGAGAAATTATGTGCCCAACTACAAGTTTTGTTACAACCACACAAACCAGATCTTGACAAGAAAGATCAATGGAGCTGGATAATGGAGAAGGATGGAGCATATTCAGTAAGGTCTGCCTATTAACTCTTATCTCAAGCATCAACTGATAAGGAGGACCTCAATTTCAAGAAATGCTGGAACCCTCTTGTCCCGAGCAAGGTATGTGCCTTTGTGTGGCAAACATTGCTTAATAGACTTCCCACTAAAGACAATCTGATAAGAAAAGGGGTTATTCATACTCCTAATGAAGCTTTATGTGGTTTATGTGGGGAAGAAATAGAAACAGCGAATCATTTACTTCTTAATTGCAAGTTTGCCCAATCTTTATGGTCAAAATGCTTTTTGTGGTGGAACTTAGAATATGTGTTACATTGTGACTTAAATAAAGCCTATGTACAACATGCCTGGAGTGGAAAGGGCAAAAAATTAAGAAGGTACTGGGAAGTCATTTGGTTCGTGATGTTATGAACTATTTGGCTAAGCAGAAACGAGCAAGTTTTTAAAGGAACCGTGGCAAGTGTGGATCATGGTTTTGAGCAACTTCAAGCAAGGGCTTTTCATTGGATTAATGGAAGAGGTGAAGACTTGAATGTCTCTTTCACAGACTGGTGTGCCAACCCAGGTGATTGTAGTAAATCATTGTTGGGTGGTAGCATGAGAAAGGGATAATTGGAGGGTTTATGTTGATTAAGAAAAGCAAAAACGCTCAATTTTCTTTAAGTCGACAATGAAATAGGCCACTTTAATAATATGTGGCATGCCAAATTAATGTATATGGGTTAGAATACTCCTTGTACTCTAAATAAATAAATTTTTTACCTTTCAAAAATAAAAAAAATATAACCCAAGAGTCAAATGTATTTCATTCGATATTTTAATGTTATTTTATGATCTTTAAGTATAGAAGAAATTAAGCATGTGTAAAATGTGAACGCAATCAGGAAATAGAAGTCTCGTGGAAATTAAAACGAAGGTTACATATGGGCACCAGTGGGTTAATCTTAAAATTTTTTCTTTGGTTAAATGCTAATTTTGGTCCATCAACTTTATAGTATTACTAATTTTTGTCCCTCAATTATTTTTTGTACTTTTTTATTTTTCAACTCTGAAAACTGTATAATTCTGGTCTTTCTATCAATTAAAATTGTTAACTCGGTCCATGTGCTATTTTTTATTACTTTTTTTAATGATGTGGCAAATTAAATTAGACCAAGAAGCTTATATGAGTGAAAAATTATGTCATGTCAAATTTCACTCACCAATTACCAAACTTCTCAAGTGGACTATAGACCCCACTTTTTAATTTATTCATTAAATTGTAATTACTTATTTTAATCAAAATTAAGATTCTAATTAATTTCTAGTTAAATCACAATTTTCTCAACAAATTTTCTTAACACCCAAACAAGATAATTTTCTTAACAACCATGACAATTTTCTTGGCAACCAAACACTTATTAATATAATATTTATTCCAAAACACTGATTGAAACCATTTTCTCAGCATCTAAACACCCAAAGTGTACAATTTTCTAGCAAAGCAAATGGAAACTCACTAAAAATTGCTCCTTTGCTCGTCTATCACTACTTCAATCTTTCCATTGCCTATGATGTTCTTTCCATCTCGAACATTAAAATCATTTAAACAATAGTTAGGGAATATGAAGTAAAAGGATCCCAAAAATCCCTCACAACCTGCAATTTGCATAAACTCAATTGCTCACTCTCAACAAATATTTAACAAAAAAAAAAAAGAGGAGAAATTTTGAACCTAGAGATTTGGCTTTCGACACCTAGTAATCTGGGCTTTGAACAAACTCAATTTAGTTCTCTCAAAACCCAACAATCTGGGGTTCGATCGAACTCAGATCTAGTTCTCTCGAAACCCATCAATTTGGGTTCGAACGAATCTAGATTTAGTTCTCTTGAAACCTAGCAATTTGGAATTCAAACAAACCCAGATCTAGTTCTCACACAATAGATAGTCCTCAACTTGTTCATTGCTTGTATTCTTCCAAAAAGTCCATATTTGGTTCACAGAACCCAAAACTTCAGATCAAATTGAAAGTGAGGAGGAGGTGGAGGAGAGGGAGTGTCGAAAAATGACCCAAAAGTCTAGATTGGTAGGTAGAGAACCCAAAAGGAAGGTTTGATTACATATCTAGGTTCAAGAATTTAGAAATTTAGGTACTCTTTGAACCCATAAACTAGGTTCTTTTTTAAGCCAAATCCTAAAAAGGAGAGGAAAAAGAGTATTGAAAAGAGGATGCCGAAGATGGAAAGGCAGTGGAGAAGATATGATGCCTAAAAAGGTAAGAAATGAATAGGAAAAATAGAAGGAAAGGGATGAAGAATAAGAGTAGAGGGTCATTTTGTAATTAAAAAATTTTCAATTTATTAAATAATTCATGTTTGTAATTTATTTTTCATCTTTGTGTGTGAGTCCCAAAGTTTCACATATAAGATTAATAAGACCAAGTGTTAGTCCAAGTAAGCTTATTTTATTGTGATGTGTAACTTCTAAGTAACAAAAAAATGCCACGTGTTTGCATTTAACAAAATAGTGGAGGGTTAAAATTGTGCAATTTTTAGAGTTAAAAGATTAAAAAATTACAAAAAATAGTAGAAGGATAAAAATTATGCAATACTATAAAGTTAAGGGATTAAAATTAATATTTAACATTTTTTTTTGTTTTAAAAAGACTATTAAATTCCAAAATTAATGGACACTAGCCGTACGTCCTCGAACTGGGGAAAAAAAGAATGAGCGAAGACCAATGCGGAATTTTTATTGTCCCCTACAGTTGAAAACACCCTTCTTTTTCATTTGATATCAATTTATTGTACTTAGCCAACAAAACTTTCCTTGAACATGATCCTTGAACACACGTTCGTCACACTAATTAGTTATATATATATATATATATATATATATGTAGTACTAGTCTACCAGACAGGATATATGGTCGTGTTCTCTCTTTATTTATTTATTTATAATTATTAATTCATTAGCACTTTTACGTGGCAATCGTTACATAAAAGAATTCCAACTAAAAACAATCTTATTTCTAGAGGAATATTGAAAGTGGAATCTCAAGCAATATGCAATATGTGTGGGTTATGTATTGAGAGTGTGGATCATTTATTACTGAATTGCATACATGCTTGGAAATTATGGACAAAATGCTTGAGATGGTGGAGTTTGAACTATGTTATGCGCTGCAATTTTGAAAAGGCTTTTCAGCAACATGTTGGGCTGCTAAAAAAAAAGAAGCAAAGCAGAGTATGGGAGATCATATGGTTTGCCGTTGTTTGGACCATATGGTTATGTAGAAATGAGTATCTTTTCAGAGACACTGTAATTAATGAAGAAAAATTACTCATTCTAGTTCAAACACGATCATATCATTGGATAACAGGGAGAGCAAGGCAGGTGAACTTTTCTTTAACAAACTGGATCATGAGACCAAGAAAATGCACTAAATGGTTTAAGTAGAGTACAGGGAAGCTGAATTGGGAAGATTGGTCTTGATTTTGTTTTTGGATTGCCAGTTAGGTTGAGAAATTCTTTTCGTGAGAATTTGATGTAAATGAGCAAGGTACCTCTTGTACTCCATTAATAAAATAATCTTTGTTGTTCAAAAAAAAAAAATAGTTGTTTAACTTTTTATACATAAGCTTAGCTAACTTTTCTTTTTTTTAGAGGAATTAGCTTACGTTTTTAATTAACTACTAACAAAAGAATAGCAATTTAAGGAAAAAAATTGTGTACAATATTTACTAAATAATATTTATGCATGTAGCATTGCAATATTTTTTTGTTACATAAAACTATTTAATAATAATTATATACTCTTATTGTCTCAAAATAATTATAATTTTTTATTTTAAATTTGTTTCAAATTAATTATCTTTTTTTTTTATTTTTTAAGCTAAATGAATATTTTTTTCTTACTTTAAATCTATTATTATTTCTTTATTTTAATTAATCATTCAACTACAAAATTTTTTTTATTTTTAGATTCTATTTTAAATATATTATAAATAAATATAAATATTGTTCTCAAATTCTTAATTTAAAAAAAATAAAAGAAAAAAACCTTTATTTGGGGAAGGAGGGAGTAATCAAAATAAAAATTATTTTCAAACATTAATCATAATATAAAAAGGCACCTGGCTACCAAAATCAAACGCGTAAAAGGGTAAAGTAATAACAATTCCAAACGAGTATTAGGAAATTAACCTTGCATTTTACCAAGTGTGTTAAAGGAGCCATGTGCGTTGGAAAAATTTTTTAAATCAAACTCCATCGTCATTGCTTGTATTTTCCAACTCGTGTTCACAAAAAAGCTTCCATACTAATTGATAAGAAAAATTGACTCGAAGTCAATTTTTTTGAATTTTCAAAAAGGATCATAATTCCTCAATTAAGGTAACATTTTCCACCGGCAACGCCCCACAAATGTTCTTAAGTGTATATACATCAAGAAAATAGCTGTTTTAATTTCACATTGCATACTAAAAAATAATATCATCATCAAATTAAATTTGGAGAGAGTAAAAACGGTGAAATCTAGAAGCTAGGAGTACTGTAAAAGGGCCAGGGGAAGCGTCTGTGGGATCGATTAGTTGATATGTATATATGGATGAACCGGCCAATTATTTGTAAGAGATTTAGTTCTATTAACTTCATTAATTAATTAAGGAAAACATGATGCTAACTAAATTTAAAGAGCTAATTGAGCCTCATATCATGTTGATGATGTATCCCATCTTGATTAACTAATCGAAAGGGATTAATTTCTCAAATGGAGCTAGCTAGCTACATAGCATGGACTAAAGGCTAAAGTTACGTATTGTGAAAATTGAGCATGTTAGTTTTAGCATAAGATTTGTATTCAATTTAAAATTTATTAACAATAAATAAAATGATTTTTCTTATATTTAATTTACACACTTCTTTTTTTATTAATTTATTTAATATAAGATTTTTTCATTTAACACATATTTCCACATTCATATATATATATACACACACACTCTTTAAACGCTCATATAATTAACACCTTTAGGAAAAAAGAGCCATAGCTGCATCTACAATGGATGAAGTCAGAAGCTTTATGTCTTTTTTCTTTTTTTTTTTTTTTTTGTGTGTGTGTGTGAATCAACTAAACCGATCCTGCCATTACAAAGTGCAGTAAAGAGAAAATCATCCCAAAGTAATCGTTGATATCCTACAGGCTTCCGCTGGAGATGAGAACCAGTGTTCCTTCCAGAGAAGCTTTTTGTCGTGATTAAAGACAGGGAGTTCATGGAAACCCAGTTTGCATACCAAATCTTGATCGTGTTCTAACTCAATGGGGAAAGAATCCTTATATATTGGACCGATAAATGGGTATGAAACTATAACATGCAAATCAGCACATCAAGTTTGAATTTTTACTAAAATCATAATCATCATTAGCTAAATGTAAGGGAGAAAATGGCTATTTTTTTTTATTGTTAACGCTATATTTGACTTAGCTATTGGAGAATAGTTGATAGTGTCCATTTCTAGCAAAGGTATTGCTTGTAATTTGAAATACTTTTTTTTTTCTTTGATCAGCGCAGGAAAAAGTTTTATTATTCAGAATAATACAAGGGGTTCTTTTGCTCATGACAAAGTATTTGGCTTTACATCAAACAAATTTTACCCTAGATCAATTTAACTACATCTTCAAGGATATCCAAAACCAAACAAGCATATCACAGCCTCATCAAAAATTTTCTGAAAAGACTAATTAATGCTCTAAATCTGTTGGATTAATCTTTGTTAAAAAAACTTTTGGGGGAGATTGCAAAGTTTTTTATGCATGATTTGGGTAGTATAGTAGCGAAGGAGATGGAAGCATCTATATTCCTTGTTGTTTCTTGTTATTTATGGTATTGGAGGAATACTAAAGTGTTTGAAAATTTAGGGAATTTTGGGGAGAGACTACTGGATGTTGTACAAACTAGGTCATTTTTGTGGATTAAGAACATGATGGATGGATGTGTTTTTCTCTTTTTATGAGTGGTAGGTTAACCCGGTTGAGTGTGCTATAGCTATGGGAAGGCATAAAAGTTTACCAAAGATGTTTCATAAACAGCAACAGGCATATGCATAAGATGGACTAAAGCAAAGGTGTGCTTTGGATTTGCTTGAGAATATGACTGGAGGCTTGTTTCAGTGTTGTGATTGTTTGGCTTTTTAATTTGTTTATGGGCATGAGTACTCTTTGTGCTCCATATAATAAAATTTTATTTTGCTGATAAAAAAAATTAAAGCTCTGAATTTGTTGGATTAAACTTTGCTAAAAAACATAAACCTTCCTAGGGATTTTTAAACCATAAATCATGAGGTAAACCATCACATACCTTTGTTGATTAGAGAGAATAACTATTAATTGTTCCCCTAACTGCTAAATTAAAGTATATATTGAACTTTTAAGGGCTCACATGTAAGTGTGATTAGTTCCATATCAAAAAGATGTGATGAGAATTAATATGTAAAGTTAATATATACATAGATACGCATGAATCTAATAGGCTAGTATTTTGAGTTTAAGAAGACATCAAAGCTATGCATTGAGCATTATGCATGAGCTCTCGCCACCTGTTGTCACTTGATCAATCTCCCTAATAGTATATAGTGGATCCAACCCTTACGATTTTTCAGTGCTATTTGTTAATTAGGCTTTATTTTATAGCAATTTCAAAACAAAAAAAGAAAAAAAAAAAAGGAAAATTCATAGGTACTAGAGATCGATTTGGATACATATATCGAGAACGAAAATGTTTATGCAATTTGAACTGTGGCAGGAGACTCTCTATTTATTGAGAGTTATATGCTAATCAAGCATGATACATATATTGAGAAACAAGCATGATATAGCAGGATCATCATCAGATAGTACTTTTTGCCCTAAATTGATGAACTGACCCAAAAATCATCAACGGGATAGGCAGCATAGTTGGAATCACACAAGTTCGTGGATTCATAGAGCCACAACTGAGAAGTTGCTGTCATGAAATTCTCATTGATTATGGTCATCTGAGAATCCTCTACTGGCTGCTCCCACAAATCTTGGATTTCATCCCAATATATCTCAAGTAAACCTGAATTTTCCTCTTTGATAATATCATTTGTTTCCTGTACAGCACAATCATTAGCGTTAGCTCCAACTGGGAAGTCTTGCAGTGATGGTGAAGAGTGCAACACCATATCAGGAGATAAAGTATCTTCAAGTGAATACAGTGCGGTATCCGGGGATGAGGTAGTATGTTGTTCAGCTGAATTTTTCTCCTGCTTGGCTTCATGATCATCAACAGTTAACTTCTCCATCGCCCGCTTCTTCAGGCGTGTGTTCCACAGGTTTTTGATTTCGTTGTCTGTTCTTTTTGGCAATTTTTTTGCGATTTCAGCCCAACTACAGAAAGCAAAACAGAGAAGAAGAACAAAATTAACGCTCTGCCGCTGCTTTCTAGTGTTTATATATACAAGCAAGAATAGAAATTATAATCTTCTATTTATATATAGATGATTATTTATATATAATCTTCAATTAACATATGATATATATACACACACACACAAAACTAATTAGAATTGAAATTATATGTAATCTTCTACATATATAAAAATGATTTGTTGAAATGATTAATGATCTTGCTAACCTATTTCCCATGATCTTCTGCAACTTGAGTATGGTTTCTTCTTCTTCCTTGGTGAAGTTTCCATGTTTTATATCCGGCCTAAGGTAATTCATCCAGCGAAGTCTGCAACTCTTCCCAGTCCTAGAAAGGCCTGCAAAATTCAAGTGCTTCTAATTAATTAAGGACCAGATGGCCTGGGGAACATATACATGATATATACCCTAGCTAATTAATTATGAAATCGCTTTAGTTTCAACAAAATGATCCACAGAGGAGTTTCTTGATATATAATCCAGAAACAAGAACACAAACCTTAATAAAATGAGAAGAATTCAAAATTTGAAAACCAATTAAAGGCTATACACATATATGGGGGAAAATATATATGGATAAATATACTTACCAGCATATTTTGGCATTTCATTCCAATTCCAAATACCATATTTCCTTATATAGTCTGTCAACTTGTGATCTTCTTCAGCTGTCCATGTTCCTTTCTTTGGAATTGGTTTCTCAAAGGAAATTGGATACCTCACCATGATCTGATCTCTCTCTATATCTAAAAGACCGAGTCTGTGCTAATATTGGAAACAAGGTACTTGACTACTGGGTCTTCGGCTATATATATACATGAGAGCAAACAGGTTAGAAAAGATTCTAGACATCACCAAAACTGTCCGTAGTCTTCCCGCATCGCAGCCTGTTTCTTCCAGGATGTAGCAAGTCTTCTTAAAATATTAATTTAGAAGACTTCCTTTTCCCTAGGCAAGTTGGAATTTTTTTTAAAATTAAAATCAAAAAAGGACAACCCAATTAGCTTAAGATTCAGAAGTACTCCAACCATTCAACATTTTTTAATTATTTATGGTCGTATTCTATGTACAGTCGTTTTGAAAAAGACAGCACGTGTAAAATGTGAATGCTGTCTGGAATTCTCCTGGAAATTAAAGAGGCTTTTCCTTTCAACAGGGTAAAGAACAAGAGAAGACCATCTAAAGAATTTGCGTAATGCACTTTGTTTGTCCCTTAGCTGCCATGGACCCTTCTTATTCTTATATATATATATATATATATATATATATATATTTTGACAAGTATTCTTATATATATTTATTTATATATTTGAGGTTAATATAGCTATCCTTTTATGCATCTAATATTAACAAATATAATTGATAGATATATAATTACTATTAAGGGTTTTTTTATGCAATTAAGGTGTTCTTTGACCAACAAGTCAACATCACAAATAATGAGATATGGTTAGAGTAAACGGCTTCAACTCGTCTTGGCGTAAACAGTAAAGCTTCTGAGTACAGTAACTCAAGTCAAGGTCAATCTTTTGAAAGTTCAAATGGGAGCAATAATTCCTCATTTGCCAGCGCGGGCCCGCATTTACCAGTGAGGGTCCGCAAAAATGTTCTTCAAAAGATATACGTTGTAGTTGTTTTAATTTGATATTGCATACTAAATACTAATTAAGAGACTAATCAAGGAAGTACTAGAAATCTAGCTAATTACAAGGAGAGAAAGTGGGAAGTATTTAATTTGTGAATTGTGATGAGATGGACTTATGTATGAACGAACCAATTACACTATATATTAGTAAGAGACATATAATTATAATTATAGAATTTCTTTTTATAATAAGGCCAAAAGAAGTAAAAAGATATATATATATTTTTTAACATGACAATTAGGAGAATAAAATCTGTGAGACTTAAAATTGTAACTTATAAAAATTGATCTCTATTAAATAAAAAAATTTGATTGCCAGGCCAAGGCATAAGGATTGAAATAAAAAGATATTAATTTTGACATATGGTAGAACAAATAAAAAAAAACCGCATCTTGAATATATATTTATATGTGTGTGTATGTAGCCGAAAAAATTGGACTTTATAAGTCTTGTTTCACACATTAACATTGGATCCCATCTTGATTAATTAATTAGTAAAAAGCAGTTAATTTGTCAACTAGCACGAACCTAAAGGCTAAAGTCGCATATTTCTACATCCACATAAACTAAACCCTTAGGAAGAAAGAGCTAAGCTAGCTGCATGGTGGATGAAGTTAGAATCTTTATGTCATGACTTAGGGAGAGGAATTCCATGGACTTGAATGTCAATTTGTATACCAAATCCTTATATATTATAACTCAATGAGAAAAGAATATATTATTGTATATTGGACCGATCAATGGGTATGAAACTAAAACAAGAAAATCAACACGTTAAGTTTGAATTTTTTCTAAAATCATTAGCAAATTGTTGAGAGAATTGCTAGCTCATATTTTTTATGGTTGAATTGGCTATATTTGCTTGAAAAATAATGGAATCAAGGAATGCTTGAAAAAAACATTAACGATTCTAACCAAAAGAGCTAAACTACCTCCCAAACATTGATTTTGTAATCAAAATTCAAGAATTCAAATCATTGTAATAGCTAAGCCTTTCTTTTGAGAACTATAATTAATCCCACTCTTGTATTCATTTATATATCCTTGCAAATTCAAATCCCACTCTTATACTGATATTAGCTTATTTAATTAGTCTGTATTTATCTATGATCATGTTTAATTAAGGTTTATTATCTTGATTGATATATAGAGATTATAAATTAAATCTTAAACTTGTGATTAATTAAGGGTGACAACTCTACCATCAATCATATAGATTGATGGTAATTATTGTTAGTGAAATAAAGAATGCAATAAGACACCCAAACCTCCTCTCACAAAGGAAAGACTCTTTCTCCACTAACCACTTTTTTTTTTTTTTAATCTTTTATCGTGATGGTTATATCATCTAGACCGAACTTAATAACCACGGCTTCAACTAACCCTCCTGACCGTGTATTTTTGCATGAACTGCATGTAGTCGTAGCCAGCCATACCATCCACTACGAACGATTAAAATTAATGATGGCCAGTTTGTTGGCTAATTAATTAATTAATTAGTAGTACGTAGTAGGTGTTTTCAATGGAAGAGTAGGTTACAACAAACTAAATCAAACACGAGGTAATGAGAGCAGGGGGCATTCTTTATTCGATTAGTTAGTAATTGGTCGAAATTAAACGATTAAAAGTCAAAAACGAGTGAGGGACGTGTAATTTTCCTCTGTTGATAACGAGTGGATCACCCCATAATCAATGGTGGGTGTCACATAATCAACGGAGTAGAACAATTCGACCCCTATATCCCATTTGTTGGTGCATTCATTTTTGGAGAAAATGAATTAAGAAAACGACTTTGTTCATTTACAATAATGCCAAGTTCAAAAAAAGTCATCACTCTAGAGCAATTTTATACTAACAAATAAAGATTTTTTTCTTTTTCTTTTTACTGTAATATGGAACATGGCATCAGCACCACGCATGAAAGTCAATTAGGAGATAGAAAATTTTTCTGTGTGAAAATAATTTTTTTCTTTTTGCAGTTTGAAATGAACGAATTGCAACCATAGGATGTGGTTCTTCTTTCCCTTTCCAGTTTTCCATCTAATGGCTGCTTGTGGTTTAATAGACAAGTTTTTTTTTTTTTTTTCGTCTTTACAAATCCAAAATGTATAAAAGACAAAATATGTATATGTATATATATACATATATATATACCTATTAAATTGTATGTATGGTACAATTACTAAATTAAGAGTTTAATTAAGTTACCAATAATATTTTGAAATTTCAATATTAAAGAAAAGTCAAAAAAGTTTTAAGTCTCCTTGTGGATAATGACAACTTCTTTTTAAATTCTGTTTCCTGGAGGTTACTTCCAAGAGTTACTTTCCATGGGAAACCGGCAAAGTCTAGAAAGAAATTAAAGTAGGTCCATGAAGTATACTGCATACAGAACAATGAATCCAATAACAAATTAAGTACTAGGAAACGAATAAAGTTCAACCCTGATCCTTACTTTTGCCTACTAAATTAACCATTGTTCACGAAGAATTTTCGACATCTCACCCATTACTAAGCCAAAAAATAGTGTATCATAACCTAAACCATCTTTGGGTTTTCCTGGGGAGTAAGAGAAGATAGAAGGGAAGGTGTTATCTGATAAAAAATAGAGCACAACACTGACATTCTATTTGTGGAAGTGCCAACCTCACCAGCTGAAGAGATGAGCCCAATAATTCAGTATCCATGTAATTTAGCACTTAGAAGACATGAAATTAGAGTACAGATGTAATAATAAACATTAAATAACAGCTAATTAGACGATGGATAATGCACCGGTGCCAGTGTGGATTCTTTTCCAGCTATCCAGACACCTGTTTGGGACCATTGCACGTCTTCCCACTCCAGATTCTCCTCAATTACCTTTACAATCATAACAGAATCACAGTGAGGAGAGAACAAGCAAGCAACAAGGGTAGAAGGAAAAAAGAAACTGAACCTCAACTGTCTTGAAATGACTTACCTCAACGTGTTCACGTGGCAAGGGGATCCTAATTGAGCGCATGACTTTCTGGGGAAGGGGCTTCTTACAGCGAGACCAACGGGAAATATCAACCGTTGTGTCATCTGAGTCATTCTTTTCACCATTCATAGAGTGGGAGTGATGGTTCTGAGATTTCTCTGTCTCTGCTTCATGAGCTTGAGTTGCTGATGTGGTTTTTACCACTTTCTTCCAGTAAAACAGAGCTCATACCTTCAGATTTTCACAGATTAGAAATTCAGAACACCTATAAGTTGCAATATATTCACACCAGGAAAGAACTAACTACAATCTAAAAAATACCTGCATGAATGGGTCTCTAAATAAAGGAATTCACCCTTCTTTAAGCGTGCAGATGCATAAAGGGGCTTCTTGAGACCCTTGTCAGCAACTACACTAATACTATACCTTATCCTGTGGAAGTTGATGAAATGTGAAATCAATGAGCACGAGTGTATTTGAGTACTCAAGGAATAAACAGAAAATGTTGAAAAGGAAGAGAAAGATTGAAACAAACTTTCCCGCAGCATCCACCAACTTCAATTTCTAAATAGAGAAGTATTTGTGACTCCCCGTAAAAACCTTTGTTGCCGCAAAGCATTCTGAAGAATGAACATGCCCATGTTAGTTAGTTTTGTCAAATAAGAAGGCTTACACAGAATATTATAAAAGAAAAAAAAGAAGGTTTACACATAATCAAATCAAATTATAAAAGTTAAAACCATATCATTTTGCTGTTGGATTGAGAAATGTGTAAATACCAACAGAAAACATTCTGAAAATGCAAACAGCGTAAGAAAAGTTACGTTGTACAATTAATGGCCAGGATAAAATATGAAATGTGAATGGCATATAACCCAAGCATAGGAAAAATATATAAAAGCTACCAGAGGCCAGTGAAAAGGAAAAGAAGTGAATAAGAGTGGAAATGGGAAGGTTAGAAATAATCCAGTTGAGAGAAAATGCTATGGCGGTTTCGGGAGAATCTATTATACATCAGGAATGGCGATTTTGCTTTCCACTTCAACCATTCCGTCTCCGAATGCACAAAGCAGAGTACATGCTTATTCTTCGAAAGCTTCTTTTTTCTCTCTTCAATTTCTTGCTATATCCCAGGATACCCCGTCCCCCAAATTTGATTTGCCTCCATCACTGCTGCACACGCAATAGGACCTGTAGTCCTCATCGCCAAGGACTGCCTCAATGATGGGGATGCAGTAGCTACAGGAGAGAAGCGATCAATGAAACTCAGGTTTTCATGCTTAAGTTCAAGGCTTAATTGCCATATCAATGCATTAATTAAAAACCAATTAATAAAATTCTCACCATTCTGTAATCATGTTATTCATGTTCTTTCACTCCTAGGTTTTCATGTTATTCATGTTTTATCTCTCCATATGGAAGGTCTTTATTTGTTATGCTATTTTAATGTTTTAATTTTTTTTCTTTCTTTCAGTGGTCTCAAAATTTTCAATTTCAATTTATCCAGATATGAGATGCTTAGAGATGGAAAGCGTTGACGGTCAAGTGAACATATTTTATATTTTACCATTTTTGCATTGATCTATTTTATTTCCTTTGACAAAACAAGTTAAAAAAAAGTTACTAATTTATTTCTTTTTCTCTAGCGTACGGCATTTACTTTCGATATATTAATAATGTTATTTGATTTTCACTATGTTGATTTGTTAATAAATTAGCATGTTAAGATCTTCCACGTGAGATTTTGCATTTACTCTGGACCTGCAAATTTGGGACTTTAATGTGTTAGTTCAATGAATGCTGTCATGTCGCATTTTAAGCAGAAGACAACTCAGTTTCAGAAACGAAAAAGCTCAGTCCGGAGGCAATGGATGCCTGGAGAGGATCAAAGGATGTGGAAGTGCATTCAATGGTTAAATGAGAATTAGTTGTCTAAGAGAATGCATTACCCATTAATATGGGGCAAAGTATATTGCCCAGGTTATTCGAAGTTTTTATTTACTTTGTTCTCATTTTTGGAGGAGCAGTAGCTGAATAGGCCGTTAGGAGAACAATTTGATTTAGAAATGAATTATAATTGAAGATGTTGGGTAGGGAGGTTTATTTTCATTGTTAAAAAGGTTACAAGAGAAAAGGGGCTCTTTTAGCTGTTGCCTTCAGTGGGTAATACTTGACCTTTTTAATTTCTGAATTAGTTGGATTATATGGTGGATTGGAAGGAATCGAGTAATGACTTGATACACTTTGAGAATTGAGAAGTATAGAACATGAGAGTTGTTGTGATGGACTGATCATGAATAATCTTAGCAAAAATCCATCCGACCCATATCAACCTGGTCTTAACCCGAACCATAAGAAACGGGCTAAGATCTACATATCTCAACCCGTGATCCGTAGATAACCTACATTATCAACCCGTACGGGTCAC